AATGTATCCATCTCTTCATTAGTCCAATTACTTGTTGGTAAATTTTGAAGAAAAATAATTGCTTCTCCAAAGTCTTTTTGTTGAAGTTCTGATGAATATTTATTTATTAGTGCTACACATAAGAAAAGGGGAAGTTCAGCAAAACCTTTTTGATCAGAAATAAGTGTATCAAATAAACGTATTCCTTGTTCTGGAGAAAATTCTCTTAATAAAAAACAATTAAACCACCGAAAAGCATAATTTAAAGTATGAACATCAATAGCTTCAAGATGATTTGATAAAGATGGATTAATTTTTTTAATAAGTAATTCTAATTGTTTTAAAAGTTCAAATATTCGAGGTTGTTGACAAGTATAAAACGTTTGGACACTTTCTAATACAAATGTTAAGGAATCAAAAGCATCAGCTTCTTGTTCAAGAGTTGGTTTAATATATTTATTTTCTTTTTTATCATAATACACTCTAATAATTGGAATAAGAATATCATGAATACCTTGTACATATCCACTTGCTGGATGACGAGCTGCCCATAATGAAAGAATTCTTTTCATTGATTCTCTTACATCATTTAAATCTTCAGAAGTTCTGAGTAAATCCTTTGATATTTGTTCTACATTTCGTTCTTCACCAAACTTTGTTTGAATAAATTCATATTTCTCAATTCTTTTACTAATAAAATTTTCCTTTTTACTTTGATCTAAAGGATGACATTGTAATAATATTTTCCATACTTCTCTTCTATATTCTGAAGGACATCCTACCCAACAAATATCTTTTAATTGTTTAATATCAATATATTCTTTTGAAAGTATTTTTTCTAGTTTTATTAACGTTGGTGGTTTACTTATTTCTTGTTCTTTTTTCTCTTCTTTTTTTATTATTTCTTTTGATTCTGTTTCTTCTTTTTCATCTTCTTTCTTTTCTTCTTCATTTGTATATCCAACAATACTGTTATATAAGGCAATTATACTTCTTGCTCCTCGAATAGCATCTTCAGTTAAAATATCCATTATTTTTTTTTAGTTTATTCATTTTCAAAAAGTTTTGCTTCTATATAACATTTTATAATCATTTTCACTTTTTTGTGTTTTTGTATTTTGTTTTTTTATGAAAATATATCCATATAACATTATTATTTGTTTTTTGAAATGATTCAAATTACAATAGAATAATAAATTAGTTAATTAAATGGTAATAGATTTTTCATTTATTCTTCCTAGTTTATTGGAGATTAATCCCTGGACTTGGTTTAAAAAGAGTAATCTTTTTGTTTAACTTATCATTTATGTTTTTCTTGAAAAATGAGAAAATCACTTCTTTCTTTTATTTCTTCTTATTAATGTCTTCTCATCCTTCTTCTGCTTATTTCTTCTTTTTATCCTTTTGTTTATTTTCTGTCTTAATTTTAAACATTTTCTTTTTCATTTTATCTTTATTTTATGAATGAGAGAAAAGACTATTTCATTCCCATTATATTATTATGTTTAATTTTCTTTTAGTCTTACCCACACTTTAGTAGATGCTTATATTACACCATGTAATATTCTATCATAATATCATGCTCCACCCTTTGCAACTTTACCTAATACATTTCTAATTCAAATACACCGTCATAACCAGATAATAACTTGGAGAGTAGAAACTTGAATTGTATTAATATTTGTGTGGTGTTTCAGACATGATACCTTCGATTTATAAACAAATAAATAACAAAATTTTTTGAGATGATTATTTCATATTAACGTAGTATTTTCACCCAAATTATAAGTACAGAAAATGTTTAACAATAAGAATAACCATCGAATTTATGTTAGTCTAAAGAAAAGAAATTAACAACAGAATGAATAAATAAGACAAACACACAAATAACAAAGAAGTAATTAATATCAAAAGAATAAATACAAAAAAAAGTTATAAAAAAAATACAGAACTTAAATTTTTGTAATAACCATAAAAATAATAAAACCATTTTTATTCTAAAAAAGCAAAACCAAATTTATTTCAATGGGACAAATTTGGAAGAGTGAGTAGCTCCTACACCTGGTCTACCATGGGTAACTGGTTTATAAGTAATTGAAAATTCTCCAAGATAATGTCCAAGCATTTCTGGTTTAATTTCGACAGTGGTGAAGGATTTACCATTGTAAACACCAATAACTGAACCAATCATATTTGGAAGAATGATTTTATCTCTGCAGTGAGTTTTAACAAGTTTTGGTTTTTCACCTTCTTTAGTAGCCTTCTTAATTTTGAGGAGTTTCTTAACAAGTCTTTCATGTTTTAATTTTGGTGATCTTCTGTATGATCTTCTAGCTCTAGCATCTAACATCTTGACAAAATCAGCTTCTGGCATGGCAGTGATTTCTTCAAGTGATTTTCCTTGTAATTCAAATTTCTTGAAAGTTCTTTTCTTAGCAACAACCTCAGACATTATACACTGTCAATCACAAGTTTTCTCAGTTCTTCCTTTAACCCTATTTTTTCTTTTTTAATAACTCTTTTTATAATTATTTTATTATTATTCTTTTTTTCGTTATATATAACTTAAAAAAATTTTAATTAAAAACTTTATTTTTAAAATAATTTTTAGTTTTCTTATTATTCAGTTTAACTTTTTAATAAAATGTCTGACATCAATACTTTCCTTCATTTTTGTTTAATTCAAAAAGATACTTCTAAATTTCTAGTATTACCTTCATTACCAAATCCATTTAATTATGATATTAAAAACTTAGCGTTTTATAGTTGTTCAGATGTACCTTCATGTCAAATACAAATTCATTTTCATCCGTCAAGGGATGTTTATGGAATTCCATTAGGAGTTATTAGTTGTTCATTATCATCAAAAATTTCAGTAGCTATTTTAACAAATTCTCCATTTTTAACATATTTTTCAACGAGATTACAAAGAATTAGTCAATTTTTTTTAACACAACCAGGTATTTCAAAAGAAATATTTATTCAAGGATATAATTTATTAGTTAGTAGTGTTGTTCCATCTCCTGCACCAATTGAAATTGAAACAGCATTTGGAGTAGATCAGTCATTAACAAGATTATTAAATAAATATTCATCAGAATTTCCAACATTATTAAAACTATTATTAATAGAAAGTAAAACTATTTTTTTAAGTACTAATGATTCAAGTAGTTTAATGATGTATGCATTAGCAAATTGTATGCCTGGATTAATTACACCATTTACTGATATTTTATCAATTTGTGGAGTTGATGTAATAAATCCATTATTAGAACTTTCATTACCTTTTAAAAACTATTCAACAAATTCTTTATTTTTCTCTCTTCCATTAGTTTCTTTAAATAATATAATTGGAAATCAAACAGGTTTTATGGCAGCTGTATGTAGTTCTGTATTAAGAACACGAAGTGAAAATATTGATGTTATTATTGATATTGATAATTCAAAATTAATTTGGAATAATAAACAACTCCAAAAAATTGTTTCTTGTACTTCAAGTGATAAAAAATTTTCTAAATATTTAGTTGATAAAATAAGACAACATAAATCACTTCATACATATGAAGGAAGTGAGCATTGGTTATTAATGAAAAGTGCATTATATATAATACAGTTTTTATCAATGATGTGTTCATTTGATATATTTTCTGATAATGAGACATTACCAAAAAATATTCCAAATTGTCAAGATTATGGAACTGATTTTGTTAATGGTTTTTGTAAAACTAAAGGATTTTATGAATGGAAGAAATCTCTTATGTTATCAGGTAAAGCAAAAAAAATGACAGAATTATTTGAACCAAGTCATCCTTGTAATAAATTATTTAATGAATCTAAACAAAAATTAATTAGAGGAACTATTTACGATTATGAACAACTCTTTAAAATGAACGTTTTAATTCAAAAATCTGAAATACATTCAATAAATACAACTACTAATGAAATAGATTTAGAATTAGATGATTCAATTGATTTGTAATTTTCTTCAATCCAAATTTCAAAAAGAAGTTGTAAATTCAATTGAAAAGTATTAAATGAATTAATTTAATTTTAAATAAAATTTAAATTAAGATTACTTCATTTCTAAACAAACAATCAATATTTCATTTTTGTTAAATCACCAAAACTTCCACTACATGAAAGAAAATGACATCGTTTTTCAGTTTCAGTTTTTCCTCTATTCATAATAATTTGAAATATTTTATCTGTGTCATTTGAAACAAGAATTTGCTATTATTTTGATTAATTTACTTTCTTTTAAATCATTTTAAAATTTACAAACATCTTCTTCACATGTCCATGGAATAACTTTTCCTTCACTAAAAAACTTCTTTGTTAATTCAACATCACCACTACATGCATATAATGCATAAATTACTACTCTTTCATCTACACTAAATTGATTCTTTATTTCTGCTATAATCTTTTGAACATATGCATTTCTATCTTTATCTGAAGCTGGTCGATTCATTTGAAGAACATGTTGTTCATATGGTGAACAACATTCAGGAATTTCTCTCACTCCTCTTAGATATGGGTCCATTAAAATGTCAGGTGTTGGTGATGGTGTAGGTGTAATAAATCCATTCTCATAAATATCAGCATCTCCCATTGTCATAATTGATCTGAATATTCTTATTTTATTTTTTTAGTTTTTCTCTTTTCTTATTCTAAAAAAGAATAAGAAATTCAAAATTTTATTTAACAAAACTTATTTATAATGAAAGAAAATACTTCTAAAATCAGTTTTACAACCATTTATTAAAACAAAAGATACTTAAATTCAAAGAATATATTAAATATAATCAATTGATTATTAGAATAGTTAAAAATATAAAGAAAATATAACTTGAAACTTCATAAAATAATTTGAGTAAATTAAATATTAAAATCATTAAAAAAATATATTTGTGATAAATTGTATTAAAAAATAAAAATATTTTAATTATAAGATAAAGAATAAATGTATTATAAAATAAAGATAATATTTAACTTAAACATAGTAAATCTTCAATTATTAATAAAACAATAATTTATAAATAATAATTACATTTAACATTATTCATATTTATTAAATGAATTTTTAAAGAGAGTAAAAGTGATATAATAATATTTTGAATGAAATATTTTGAATGAAATATTTTGTATGAAATAAAAAAATAAGATAAACTCAATTAATAACAACAAAGAAAAGACAAAATAATTTAAATGATAGGCAAACTTTCTATCACAATAGGCATACTTTTAAGATCAAACTCTCTTGTTATTTTATAAAAACAAATGAATTTTATTATTTTATTTTTATTATGTTCATTGTCTATTGGTGAAACTTGTTCTCGTAAACCAGTTATTTTAATTCCAGGAATAATGTCATCTATACTTGATATTAAATTAAATATCAGTAAAACTGATGAACATTTTAAAAAAAAATGTAAAAAAGTTGAAGATTGGGAACGATTTTGGGCATCATATAAACTTGCATCTGAATGTTATTTAGAATATATGCATTTACAATGGAATAATAAAACAAAACAAATGAAAAATTATGATGGAATAGAAATTAGAGCACCTGATTTTGGAAAAACTTATGCTGTTGATACATTGTGGCCTGAAATTCCATGGAAGAAAATTACTGGAATATGGAGAAAATTTATTAGTCATTTAGAAGAACTTGGATATCAAGATGGAATTGATATGATGGCAGCACCATATGATTGGAGATTTTCTCAATCTAAAGTAATTGATATATGGCTTGAACAAACAAAACAACTTCTTCTTGACTCTTATAAAATCAATGGAAAAAAAACTGTGTTAATTTCATCTTCTATGGGAGGATATATGGCATATAGATTATTAGATTATCTTGGAAATGATTTTTGTAATCAATACGTTGATCAATGGATTGCAATTAGTATGCCTGTTATGGGATCAGGTGTTGCTGTAAAAATGATTACTGTTGGTGAAGATTTGCTTCATTTAAATTTACCAATTGATAGATTACTTAAAGTAATTCGATCAATTGAATCAGTTGTAGGATTATTACCTATTGATACATTATGGAATAAAGATGATTTATTAATGGAAATTGAAAGTACTGGAGAACGTTATACTGTTGGTAATATTACTCAATTTATTCAAGCTATTCCAACAACAAATGAATTTGGTGTTTATGTTTATGAAAATACTTTAAAACCATATTATGAAAAAAATAATTATAAAGTACCAAATCAAGTACCTTTAAATTGTATCATTTCAGGTGGAATTGAAACTGCTGCATCAATGTCATTCAAAAAATCACTTGATAGTTTATATACAATTAATTATACAGATGGAGATGGAATGGTAAATATTAATTCTTTAAAAGCATGTTCAATGTTTACCTCTAATGTAACTTATATTGGTAAATCAAGTCATAATGATATTCTTAAAAAAGATGAATGTTTTTCAGTTGTGAAATCATTAATTTGTTGATAAAAACCAATTAAATAAGAGTGAATAGAATTACATTCATTTAAGTTAATCATAATAAAGTTTTTAATATCAATTAGTTTAAATAATAAATTTATATAATAAAAATATAAAAAAAAAGAAAAATTAGTAGATAATTTATATCTACAATTGGATTTTATGATTATTAAAGAAAAATGAGTATTTTAGTTTTTTTTTTTCAAAATGTTCTTTATTAGTGTCATAATATTCATTTCCATCATTTGAGAATTAGAAGGTTCTTCTTCTAATAAACTACAAGAATAAATAATAAATTTTTGTAAAATAAAAAAAAAAAATATTAAAAATATTTTCACATAAAAAGGATATATAACTTAAAATTAATTTTTAAAAGAACAATGACATTAAAAGCATTGAAAGTATGTGAAAATCTTTATTGGGTTGGAGCTCTTGATAATGACTTAAGAGTCTTTGATATTATTATGTCAACTCCATATGGAACATCATATAATTCATTTTTATTAACAACAAGTGAAGGGAATATTTTATTTGAAACTGTTAAAGAGAATTTTGCACAAGAATGTCTTAGTCGTGTTATTGATGTAATTGGGGAATCTGGTAAAATTGATTATATTGTTTGTAATCATACAGAACCAGATCATAGTGGTTCATTAGTTCATATATTAGAAAAATTTCCACAAGCTACTGTTATTGCTACATTTGCTGCATTAACAAATATTAAATACATTGGACATATTACAAAGAAAACTAAAACTATCGATAGTACAAAAAATAAACAATTCAAATTAGGACAATATACTCTTAATTTCTTTATTCAACCATTTTTACATTGGCCAGATACTATGATGACTGTTATTCCTGAATTAAAAGTTCTTCTTCCTTGTGATGTTTTTGGTGCACATTGTGCAGATCCAAGAGTATTTAATGATGAAATGACAGATAGAATTAAAGATCTTGATGATGCATATAAACATTATTTTGATTGTATCTTTGGACCATATACTTCATTTGTTCTTAAAGGAATTAACATACTTGAAAATGATATTGGATTTCCAGTAGATGAACTTAAAGCTATTTGTTGTAGTCATGGACCAGTATTAAGAACAAATATTAAAGAAAATATTGAAAGATATAAAAAATGGTCACAACCAAAAGTATTAAAAGATCGTGTTATTATTGCTTATGGATCAGCTTATGGATATACTGAAATGATGGCAGAAAAAATTGCAGAAGGAGTTAAATCAGTTGGAGTCGAAGTCATTATGCATAATATCGTTACATCATCTGTTGATGCTATTTTAAATGACTTTGAAAATTCTAAAGGATTATTATTAGGAACTCCAACACTTGTTGGTGAAGCACTTCCACCAATGTACATTATTCTTGCTCATTTAAATCCAATTGTTCATTGTAGTAGATATGTTCAATGTTTTGGAACTTATGGGTGGAGTTGTGAAGGAGTAAGAAATTTATCAGTAAGGATTGACCAATTAATGGTAAGAAGACCTGTTCGACCATTATCTTTTAGATTTAAACCTACTGAAGAGAATCTTAAAGAATGTTTTGAGTGGGGGAAAACTTTTGCTACTGCATTATTACAAAACAAAGAATTTGTTTCTGAATAATTGGTAGTGTTTTTTTTAATAAGTTTTTATTGAATGAAAAGAATATATTTTATTTTAAATAGAAAAATAGTTAAACTAAAATTCTTTAAATGGATTTACCATATATAACTAAATACTTAATTCATAACTCTCAATTCCAAGCAGGTGGTCATCAAGGATGTATTATTCAAAAAGGAAATTATCTTATCAAAAAGATAAGTTATAAAAGAGTTTGTTTAGATTCTTTCTTTTATTATTTTTTTTAATATTAATTACATAAAATAACCTTTTTGTAAAGGAATTAGAATTTTATTTAGAAAATAAAGATTTAATAGACTGGAAAGGATTAATTCCATACTTTTTTAATTCTTTTATATTTAATAATGACACGTTTATTTCAATAGAAAATATTATTTCTAAATACTTAAAACCATGTGTGTTAGATATTAAAATAGGAAATAAAACATGGTGTGATGAAACAGATGAAAACAGAAAAAAAGAACGAATAAAATTAGATGCTTTAACAACACAAAATACACTTGGGTTTAGATTTTGTGGAATGACAATAACACAAAAAGATGGTTATTCATTTTCAATTAATAAAAAAATTCATCTTGAAATTCATTCAAGAGAAGAAACAATTAAATTATTATCAATATTCATTAATCAATTAGGCTTTGAAAAAGATAGAATTATTAATTATTATCTTCAACAAATGGAAAAGATTAAAAATTGTATTAACAAAATGAAATATCACTTTTTTTCAAGTTCATTGCTCTTTGTTTATGATATTGAATCTTATCAATGTGATTGTAGGATGATAGACTTTTCACATTATTACAATATGTCAACTCATATATCAAAAATAAATGATGGTGTAATTGAAGGAATTAACACATTATCTTCATTATTTAAAAATATCTAAAAACTATTTTAAAATAAAACAAGTAATTTAATTTTTGGTTCTTTAAAACAAATAGTCTTATTCAATAATAGATATTTCCACATTTAAAATTTACAAAATCAGAACATTTTAGAACAACACCTATAGAAGCATTTTGATGATTAATTGGATTCAACAACGTTTCTCCTTTAGACCCAAGCCATACAATTTCATTATTTTCAAATATAAATCCAAGTTCTGGGTCAAGGCAATTCCATGGTGATCTATTAACATAAATTAAATCATCAACTACACCTGCATGACATGTATATCCTGGTTGAATTATTGATAGAATAAACATTATCCCACTAAATATAATAGAGATGACAATAAACATATTGAATATTTTTAAACAATCACCATAAAATTGACCAATAGTCCATACAATCAAAACAACAATACTGTACATTCCTATGAATTGAACTGAACAACCAAAAAGAAAACTTAATGAACCACAGATAATTCCAACTACAATACACCCTGAAACTCCAAATTTAGTTGTTTCTTTTTTTACACTGACATTAGATGAACGAGATGAATACCATAACCCAACACTAAGTAATGCAAAATATCCCCAAATAAAAGGAAGTGAAGGATATAATATAGATAAAATAACACTAAGTATAGTAATGATTATAGCACTAGGTAGAGTAATGTATCGAGGTCCAAGAGAAAATGAAAAATCTACAGTAAATTGGTTAATTGTTTGTAATAAGTTGTTTGATTCTTCTAGTAACTTAACAGCAAGACTATATGAATTTTGTAAAGGTATAATTTCTTTATCTAATTCTTTAACTGCTTCAACAGTAAAAGGAATAAGACTAATAGGATCAATAGATAAATATCCACTTTCATCTTCATGGACTAAATCAGGAAAATGTTCTTTTAATTCTTGAGCTATAAAACCATAAGTCTCTGCATTAGCAACATCATATGTGTACATTTTACCAGTAACATTAAGTAGTCTTTCTAATGCATTTCTAATTGGTGCAATTTTTGTTTTTGTTCTTGAATCACTTCGTTGAAAGAAACCATTTTCTGCAAATACAGCACCAAAGATATGAAGTTGTTTTAATGAAGGAGAAACTTGAAGTACTTTAATAAAATCATCAATATTTGTTGAGCAAAATAATTGTTGGGGTGTTTGAGATAACTGTGGAAATGAAGTTCTTTGAATAATAGGAGGGAGGTCATTAAAATCTGAAATTTCATGACCAGCCAATGATTCTGAAGGAGGTGATAAAGTATCAACCTGATTTTCAGAAGAATGAATAAGATTATTTGGACTGTTAGTTGAAACTAACGAAGTAATTAATGGAGATTCATTTTTTTTATTACTTTGTTTTGTAACAAGAGGGTATTTTCTTTTACGAATATTTACTTCATCTGGTACAAATTCAATATATTTTTCACACATTTCTTTTGGGAATTGTTTATTTTCTAAATTTTTAAATGCAACTCCACCAAATTCATTATATATAAATTTAAGATGTGCATCCCATACATGTGAAGTACAATTGTATTTAGTTTTTGCTGGTTCATTACAACCAGGATAATTACATTTCCAATCTTTATAACGAATTCTTTGTTTAGAAGGACTTTTAGTTTGATTTTTCATTCTACATTTTTTATTTTTTTTTAATAAATTTTTTATTTTTTTTAATAATAATAAAAGAAAAAATTCATCATTTCTTTGATAAAATTGGTTTGTTTTATTATTTTTTCAAAAAATAAAAAATTAAATTTCTTGTATTTTCTTTTTAATTAAAAATTTTTAATCATTTTCTACTCCAGTTTCAGGAACTTGTGATGATACTGATGCTTCAATACTTTCTTCAGTTGTGTTAGTTGTTGAGACTCTTTCTGAAGAAGGTTCTTTTGATCTTGTTTCAGTTTTTGTTGAAGCAGACTGATCTCTATGAGAATCTGATTTTGATTTATCATTAACTATCTTAAACTTAGAATCTAACATAACACCAATTTCTTTGAATGTAGGTCTTTCTGATGGACTGTGTCTCCAAGATTGTTCAATAACATCTTTTAATAAACAATCTTCAGAAATATCAAGTCTTTTTCCTGCTCCTACAAATCTTAATATTGAATCAGAGTCAGGGAATTTTGCTGGATCATATGGATCTCTTCCTAACCAAATTTCTAACATACAAATAGCAAATGAATATACATCTGATTTTAATGTCATTTGATCTTTTCTACTAATTTCTGGTGCCATATATACAGGTGTACCAATATTTTGTAAAGCTATTTTTCCAGATGATTCAATAAATGAACGAGAAGTACCAAAATCAGTAACTTTAGCAGTAATAGGATCATGTGGATTTTTAGAATAAACCAAAACATTATCAGTTTTTAAATCACGATGAAGAATATCATTTTGATGTAAATATTCCATACCACGTGCTATATCTTGACAGAATCTAACTTTTAATAAGTCTGTTAGTGGATTTGTTTTCATGAATTTTCTTAATGATCCTAATGGACAAAATTCGGTTACAAGACATAATGTATCAGGTGTAGTAACGCTTCCAATGAAATTTACAATATATGGACAACGAATACGTTCCATCATTTCTGCTTCTTGACTGAAATTAGGTAATAATTCAGCTAATCCAACTAAATCAGTTTTCATTACTTTAACTGCAACATCAACTCTTCTCCATTCAGCACGATAAACAATACCAAATGTACCACCACCAATAGGTGGATGTTGTAAATGAATTTCTTCATAATCTAATTTAGTAGAAAGAGCAGATTCAACTTGAAGACTTAAATAAACATGGAATTTAGATATTTTAGATTTTCCTTTTTTCTTCTTTTTTGTAGAAGTTTCAGAGTCTGATTTAGATTTTGCACTTCCAGAAGCATGAGACTTTGAAGGATGAGATTTTTGTCCATTAGAAGATAATTGTTTAGAAGAAGAATTAGCATTATTATTTGATGAAAGAGAACTTCCACCCTCACTTTCACTGTTTTGACTTGATTGGGAATTTTGAGCAATTAAATCTGGATTTTCTCTTTTAATATCTTTTAAAATATTTCCTAATTGACCATATCTTAAAGTAATTGGTACTTTTTCATTTAATAATGTAGTACATTTAGCCATAAAAGTAATATTTAATTCAACATAATCACCTGGTCTAATAGTACCAGTAAATGGTTTACACATAATTTCATATTTGGTATAATCACCAGAATGGAATGTAAAATGTAATGGTTGTTTCCAATTATTAGTTAATACAATTTTAGTTTCAACTGGATCATTAATTTCAGGTCTTAAATCAGGGAATTCAATAACATTAGAAGAGAATGAGAAATAATCATTTTTAGTTTTAATATCAATAAATTGTGAATTTGTTTTATCAAATGGAATAACCGTATTTTCAAATATTGTCATCTTTTCATCTTCTATTTCTTGTTTTATCTTTTTAGTTAATCTGAAGAATAATAGTAAACAAATTATAAATCCAACAATATAAATAAAAAGATAAACACATGCTCCTATTCCCCAGAACAAGAAATTCTTCATTGCTTTAGAAAGTCGTGTACAATCTGCTTGTTCATTTTCAAACCAATCTTCTTGACATTCACATTCAATACATCCATATCCTCCATCACATTCTTCTCCTTCATCCCATTTTTTATTTCCACATGTAGCAGGGATACATCCAAATCTAGCTTTTGCATATTTTTTTGTTCCATCTACACAAACACAATGATCACATCCATATCCTCCATCACATTCTTCAAATTCATCAATTTTTCCATTTCCACATGTTGGAACTGCACATTTAATTTCAGTTTTTCCATTGTATGAGAGAGACATTGGCTTAGTACCATAAGCACAGTTACATGACTCAGTACATTGTGTATCATTAACACCTGAAGATAAGTCACAGTCTTCATTAGCATCAACAACACCATTACCACATTCTGTACATCCTTCATCTTTAAAAACAAATCCAGGTTTACATTCACATCTACCTGAATAAGCAGAACAAATTCCATTTTCACCACAACTTAAAGGACAAGTAGTGTCAACTGTTAAAAGTACTTCTGCAGAATATTCTTCATTTATTCCAAGAAACAGGTAATAAGTATTGTCTTCAGATAAAGTAACAACCATTTTAGCTAATTTAGAATTAGTTCCACATCCATCGGAACGTGACTTAACACATTCGACAGAATCAGATGATTCACAATTAATTGATCCTGCTTCAGCATTAGAAGTATCAGTCTTAGTTTTTATAAGATCTAAAGAAACGTCATAATTTTCTGATTGACAAGTAGAAATAACAATTGTTTGTTCAGCACCTTTAATTCTAAACCAAAATCCTTTAATAAGATCTTTAGAACAAATAGAACGAGAGTTAAGGGTATGTTCTAAATTAACTATCCTTGAATATCCATCACCAGCAATGTCATTCCAATCAATGTCATAATAATTATTAGAACAGGGGTGTTTAACTTTAGTAAAGAAAATTTGAAATTTAGTCATTGGAGATGATGCATATTTTTTATGAATAAAGATATATTGAGTTGAGTCTGCATTCATCCAAGTAACAACCCTGGGAGATAAAATGTATTCACTTAATCCTCCATTTCTATATAAACAATTAACTTTGTCTCTCAGATTTGTACCACTAATACAATCTTCTTGAATTATAATTCCAAATTCATGTCCTTCTTTTTGTTCTTGAAGTTGAGCAAGAACTAAATCATCTCTATTATACTGTTTATCAATTGCAATAGAAATATAAGTATTTTCTTGTCCAGCTGGTAACGTTACTTTTAAGTATTGTCCATAGGTATATGGTTTAGTGGGATGTACATAACGAGTACATCTATTGATATATAATTGTTCAGGAGCTGCTGGAGTAACCTCTTTGTTAATTTGTTTCATAGTGCTTGTAAAATTTAATTTAATTTCGTAATCAGAGGTATCACTGGAACTAGTGAACACGTCACCACATCCTTTTACTTTGTCAATTTGAACTTCTTTGCATTTTCCTTCACCATACCACATGTATGTATCATTACACCCTTGACAATCAGCAGTATATCCTAAACTTTCATTACATACTTCACATATATCTGGGGCAAGACAACCAGTAACACATGCATCTCCATACATACAAGAAATAATACAATGTCCCTTTCCATCAGCGTTGTATCCTTCTTTACATAAACAGTCATTCCCACACCCAGCAGTGCTATCACATTCTTCATTGTAAGAATCCCATCTACCATCTCCACAAATTATTTCTCTGTTGAATTCTGTTTCATTAACATCAACAGCATAGGTAAACAAAAAAAGAAGAGGTCTATTGTATTAGTGATTAAAATGTTTTAAAATAAGTGAAGTAACTGACAAACAAAAGAACCATTTAAAATTTTTTAGACCCTTCTTTTGTTTAAAAACTAAATGTTTTTAATTAGACTATTTTGATAATATAGAAACATTCATTACATTGATTTTAATTTTTTTCTAGCAATTCTTTGTTTCAATTCCTTACTTATTTTTATTATTGGTTTCTATCATTCTCTTCTTTTTTCTCCTCTTTTTTAACCAAAAACAGTAATTTTATTTTTATCTTATGTAATAAAAGACCAAAAAAAAATTTTTTTATTTTAATAATTATTAAATGATTTTCTTTTTTTTTGATTGACTTTTCAAATCATTCTTAACTTATTTCTTTAGTGATAAGAACGAATTAAAAAGGGTATGACAACAATGTGGTTATTTCTTTTATAATATATAAAACAAACAAGAAGAACCTAAAATATATATGTAAGATCAAGTTTAATAATTTTTAATAACCTCTTTTTGAATTTAAATAATAAGAAATTGCAATTAAATACTTTGGTACATTTATTGTTAGTTAAGGTTTAGAAAACAATATTCTAAGAGATGAGGTTTAATCTCACTCCCTCCTTAAATTTCATAAGTGAATAATAATTTATTAAAATAAATAATACAAAGGTGTAATATAATTTGAGGAAAAATACAAATTAATTCGTTTGTAAATTTTTTATAAAAACATCAACAATCTGATTTGAGTTATACCGTTCTTTTGGATTTTGATTCCAGCAATGTTCAATCAGATCAAAGAGCCAATCATCAATGATATCTTCTTTTCTTGGTCGTTTTCCTTCACTTATAAAATCTGCAATTTCCCATGGATATTTAAATTGTTCTTTTGGGAAAGGATTTCTCCAAATTGATACTTCATACATTGTAATAGCAAATGAATAAATATCAGAAGGTAATTTATAATGTTCTTTTTTCAATACTTCTGGCGCCATGTACATTGGTGTTCCAACTCCTTTAGTAAATGTCATATTTGTCATTAACATATTAATATTTCTTGATGCCCCAAAGTCTGTTAATTTACAATTAACTTGTATATTATTTTCTAACGACACAACAAGGAAATTATCTGGTTTAATATCTCGATGCAATATTCCATTTTGATGAAGATATTGAATTCCATGAGCTGCATCAGAAAGCAATTTATTGATCATATTATTTTCAATTCTTTTTGAATGTTTATGCATTAAATCACTTAATGACCCATACTTAGCAAATTCTGTTACCATACATATTTTATTAGGAATAAATACTGCTCCATAGAAATGAATGACATATTCATTTCTAAATTTGTCTAACATTGCAACTTCTTTCTCAAATTCTTCCACTTGTTTTTCTTCGTTAAGAGATATTTTCATTTTTTTAATTGCTACTTCATTTCCTCTAAAGTTTCCAAGATAAACTATTCCAAATGATCCTTCTCCTAATTTCTTTTCTTCTTTAAGTTCTTCATAATCAAGTCGTGTTGTTAATTCTGTTTTAAAGGAAATACCAATACGAGATTCATATTGTTTTCCTTTCTTCATATCTAATCCTAAAAGAACAAGAGAATCAACTATTGTTGTTGTACATAATGGTTTAATGAATATACTAAATTCAACTGCTTTTCCTTTATCAATAGTAATTAGTGAAGGGTCACTTCTTATATAATATTTGTCAATATTAGTTTTAGTGGTAATTTGAACTTTTAGTGTATGAGATTTTTTATTTCCAATACATAATAAATCCCTTGACTCTTCTCCAACTGGAATGGTGTCAGTCATTCTATCAATAGTAAATGTAAGTTCTTTTTTATTAACACATAACCCACTTTCTTTATCTACATCTTCAAATAACATATTACAACGGCTCATATCAAATTCACAAATCTTCTCCTCTCTTTCTTTTTTCTTTCTTCTTGTTTGAATAATAAATATGAGAAAAATGACAACCAATACTATAATAATTATGACTGCTAAACACCCTGCTATTGGAACACAAATAAGAATCAAATTATTGACTGTAGTTTCACACCCTGAACCATCTTTATTTGGCTCGTGCCATCCTTGACATGATGTACATTTTGAGTTAGATGATGAAAGGCAATTTGGAATATCTAAATAATTTTTACATTGACCATCAGATAATACAAAGCCTTCATTACATTCAGTACAATGATTTGCTGAATTAGTGCATTGGAAACAACTCTCACTACACTTATAACATTTTTTATAAGTTAATGACAAATATGTACCTTTCTCACATGCCACACAACCATCATATTCTGAGGTAGTACAATTTTTTAATGTGTCATTGGACAAACACTTTGACGTTTCTATATCAAAATAATAACCTCCAGTAAAGTTACAAGAAAGGCAATTGAAGGCATTTTGATTACATGTCAGGCATGACTCATGACATTCAGCACAATTCTTATATGTTTGATAAAAGCCATCTTTGCATATTGCACAACCTGATGCATCAGGGAAAAATGTTAAACAACTTTCTACCAAAGAACCAAGAGATTCACAAGTATTATTTTTTGTCAATTTATATCCAAAATTACACGTTGTACAGTTGGTTGAATTTCCATAACAGGTAGCACAATTTATATCACACATCCGACATACACTATCTTGATCTAAAAACTTCCCTTCTTCACACCTCAAACAACCAGTAGTTGTTATATCTGTACAAAAATTAAAGTCTTGAATTGCATTACACACCCAAGACCCATCACTATTTTTTATCAAATTAAATCCTTCTAAACATTCTTTACATTTTCCATCAACAACAAACCTACAATTTTCTTCAGTAATATTAACACAATTTCCATTCTCATCTAATTTTTTTCGTTCAACACATTTTTCACACATTGTCGTTGTTGTTGAAATTATGTCACAATTGTCTTGGGCTTTCTTGCATAATCCATCATTTGTTTTATAATAGCCAGAAGAACATATAAGACATATTGTTGATATAGAAGAAGGAATACAACTGTCACAATTAGGCTGACACATAGTACATTTGTTTTTATTCAGATAATACTTTTTTTCACAAGAAGAGCAAGTAACACCTTTAAATTGAGTACAATGACTATCGCTTGAACAAATTGGAATAATACTATTTCCATCTATATCTCCAGAAGAAGAATTACAATTAAGACATTTAGTTCCTTCTAGTGTTGAGGGTAAAACACAACTTCCACATGTCTCATTACAAATATTGCATTGAGGCACACTCTCACTATTCATGTAATAACCATCGTTACACTTCCAACACTTTCCTCTCCACTCAAACAAACAACTGGATGTTTCTTTTTTATAAGAAGGCATAGTTGATGATTCGTAATAACCTACTCCTTCACCTGAAGTTTGATTAAAGAAAGATAATGAAGTAGTTCTTGTAAATGCATCACAAATACCACTTGGAGAAATAGAAGCTAAGCAATTATCACAACCAACTTCGTCTTCACTGTCATGTTGGATACAATACTCTTCATTAGAATATAATGTACATTTTCCTGATCTTAAAACATAATGCTGTTCACATTTAAGACAATTTGTATTTGAGATATAAATTGTACAATGTTCTGGAGCTTCTACACACTCGTTTGGTCGAATTACTTTCCCATTGCAAGGCTTACATTTTGTTCCATCACTAGTTAAATAAAATCCATCGTTGCATATAAAACACTCTGTATTTGACCTACAGAAACTACAGTTCGAAATATAATGGGTACATTGGACACATTTAGTACTATCTTCATTTATAAGTGTTCCACTAGGACATGTAATACATTCACCATTTTGTAATACAGTGTTGTTAGAACACAAGGTACATGTACTTGGTCCAGAACAAGTGACACAATCACTGATATTACATTCAACACATGTCTTTGAATCTAAATAGTATCCTGGTGAACATTCCATGCATTCAGTTGAGGTGGTTGAACATTTTACACATCCTTTAATAACTGTTCCACATGACCCACATCCATTTTGTGTATTAGGTGTATATGAAGATTCACAATTCAAACAATTAGTACCATTACATGAAAGACAATTGTCACCACAATTATGACATGTACCTAAAGACAAATAATATCTTTCTGAACATTCCTTACATACTATTGTATTATTTGTTTTATTACAATCAGTGCATGAATCACCACATGAATTACATACATTTTCATTGAGATAATACCCAATATTACATTCTGAACAAGTATTGGAAGAACAAATTTTACAATTAATGATATCACTACAACCAACACAAGACCCGTTAATTAAAGAAAATCCATGGCTACATTCAGAACATGTATTTAGAGTAGAATCGCATTTCGAACATCCTACAGACATACAACTAACACAACTACCATTGATATTCAAAAATTCTGATGAACACATAGAACAAGATGAAGACTCACATTTGACACAATTAGAAGAACATTTTAAACATTGAGAAGAGTGAAGATAATATCCATCAACACATTCTGTGCATATTGTACTTGATGAAGGATCACATTTAGAACACCCAACAAAATCAGTACCATCATTACAATTAATACACTTTCCATCAGAAATACGGAACTTATCTGAATTGCATTTATTACATCTCCCATTAGAATCACAAGTTTCACAATTTTCAATATTATGACAAGAGTCGCATGTATTAGTTGTTGTATTTAAATATACATTCTTTGATGTTTCACAACCAAGACATTTATTTTCATTAGAACAAACAGCACAATTATCGGTTAGTTTGGAACATGGAAGGCATTGTGACATATTAGGGTAATAGTATTCATTTTTACATGAATTACAAATTAATTCTGAAGGAGAGCATATATCACAATTAGGAATGGCTGTAGAACATAAAGTACAAACTGAATTTAATAACGTATAACCTTCTTTACAAACAGAACATTTATTTGTAGTTGAATTACAAGACTCACAATTAGGGTCTATTTGAAAACACGTCTTACATGTTTTACCAATTAGAAAGAATTCACTAACACACCTGTTGCATGCCTTTTCTGTTTGACTACAGTCACTACAACCAGGCAATGAATCACATGACAAACAATGAATTTGAGACGCCGGATAATTACCTGAATTGCAACTAAGACACGATGTTGAATTACAAGTAGAGCAATTTTGGTATTTAGAAGAACAATGAGTGCATCGTCCTGACTCTAATATATACGAATTACTCACACACTCAGTACATAATCCAGTTGTTGTACATTGGTTATCTTGACACCCATCAATGGTACTACATTCTTTGCATGTAGTTCCATCTAAATAATATCCTGGGCTACATTCAGAACACTCATTCTCTGATGAACATAAAGTACATGAATTTGGACATTTAACACATTTTTGGATGTTTGATAGATAATATCCATTCTTACACACTGAACATTTATTACTTGATGAGTCACACAATTGACAAGGAGGTAAAAAAACAGAACAAGGTTGACATATTCCATTATCAATAGTCATACCACTACCACATAAGTTGCATGATGTAATATTACATGCATAACACTTACCTTTTCCATTGAAAATACTACAAGGTTGACAAAGAGAAGATGAAGTTAAATAATAACCATCAGCACATTCAACACAAATGTTTTCAGTACTTCTTTTACAGTTTTTTGTTGATGCAGCAACACAATTATTATTTTCTAAAATATAAGAATCTAAACAAGTATCACATGTATTAGACTTATATACCTTACAATTTGGTATTGTGATACATTGATTATTTTCTAAATATCCAGACGAGCAACTTGAACACTCTTTAACAATAAGTTGGTTTGATGTTGTTTGACTCATACAACTTGAACACCCAACAATATCAGAACAATTTGTACAACTAACGCCATTAGGATAAAAACCATCTTCACATACTGAACAAACAGTAGACCCATATAACACTTTTGATGCCTTACATTTTTCGTCAACATATTCTAGTCGTGTACAATAACTTCCGTTCTTTATATACCCTGTCATACAATCCCAACACTGATAATAACCATATCCTCGGCAGTGGGCATCAATAGCACTAATACAAAATCCCTCATTCACTTTAATAGCATCTATCCGACGACAATCAACAGATTTTAAACAGTACTTATTATTAACGAGCTGATACTCACTTTCACAAAAAGTACACAAACTGTTTTCTGCTTTTTCACAATGTGTATCAGTTAAACTAACACACTCTCTGTCACCATTAAATATAGTGTTATTTGCACATTTATAACAAACACCTTCATTTGAACAAAGTCTATCCTCACAGTTTGAGGGACATTCTAAAAATGAGACTCTATTAAAAAGAATTTTTAAAACTAAACCAAGAAAGTAACAAACGGACACACGTATTACCACTAAGATAATACCCATCATCGCATAAACCACAACTAATGTACCAGGGATTATCAGGTGAATTACATTTTTTACAATGAGGGAAATGCTCGCTACAAGCCTTACAAACACCACCAATCAACTTATAATTGTACTTACAATCATAGCAATAAGAAGAGCCAGAATCACAGGTGGTACATCCTTCAGGACCTAATTTAATCAATAAAAGGTTATTTGTATTTAAAAAGAGAACAAACAGTTTGTTGTTTGAGAGAGTGATGTTACAACAAAAACGAATAGTAGCATAAAGGTTAATAAGTTCAAAAAAAAAAGAATTTTTAACTAAAATAATAAGTAATTCTAAAAATAAATATATTTTAGTGTTATTACTAATTTAATAAAAAAATATTAATTAAACTATATTAATATAGAATATTTATGATAATTCTAACAATTAAAAACCAACTTCTCTTAATTTTATTAATTGAAAATACTCAATCAATTATCTTTTTTTATTTCTCTTGCTCTTTTTGTTTAGTTTCATTTTCTTTTTGGTCAGGTTTTTCTGCACGTAATTGAACTGGTCTTCGAGTTATTATTGAGTCAATTCCTTGAGAAGCAAGATAAATACCCATTACAGAAAAAATATAAGGTAGTCCACCTTCTCCCTGACCATCTTCTCCATAAATACATCTAACATTACGACGAATATTTTCTTTATATAATGCTGATTTAAATTCAATTGCTAATTTACTTTTTTTTACTCTTTCAATATTTTTTATTTGAATTTGGGTTGAATCAAATAACCCATAACCTCCAAGAACACAAAATACTTTCTTTTGAAATTCTAATCCTATTTTACATGCATCAACTGCAAACTTTTGGTTTTCTATTCCAATTAGAATGATGTCATTTGAAGAAATATATGTTTTCATTAACATTGAATCATATGGTTTATTAATTAATGTAATTTTTGCTTCAGGATTAATCAATAATAATTGTTCTTGTTCATTCTTTTGATCTACAGTAAATGCATGTAATGTGAGTGAAATGTCATTGTTTATTTCTGGATAATATAGAGTTAAATTAATAACCCCTGCTCGAATTAAATATTCACTTGTATAAGACAAAGACGGATGATTACCAATAATCAAAAATCTTTTAGTTTGAATAACCTTATAATTGTCTTCTCCAACTAATAATTTAGTACGAATATCCCAAGTATCAGTATTATTTTGCATTTATTAAATTTTAACAATTTATAGTTTTATCTTGAAACCAAAAATAAATTAAAAATTTATTAATGTTTATTATTAAAATTATTTGTGATTAATTTTTACTTCCACTTCATATTTAGAAGATAAAAGTGATTGTGGTAATTCAATAGTTATATTTAATATTCCTTCATGATTCATTTTGATTACCAAATCAACTCTATCTCCTTTATGACAATTATCCATAATCTCAACACACGCAGTTCCAATAAATTTACTTGGAATTGGAATACTTGTATCTCTATATAAATCAAGTTGAATAGTTTTCTGGTTTTCGTTAGATACCACAAATTCAAATTTCTTTTTACATGGTAATTTAATTTGTTGAGGAATAATTGTTTGAACTGTTCTAATTCCAAGTAATTGATTATATGTTGCAATTCCAACTGAATAAGTAGCTACTTCTGTACTAATTAAATTAACCTGTAATTCTGCACTTTTAAGTGCAGCCCCTCTTGAAACTGAAAATAATGGATGGTCAGAAACAATTGGTTTTACACCAGTACTTTGTTGAATCATTTGAGAAATGAATGGAATAGAAGAAGTACCACCTACCATAAGAATTTCATTAATTGGAACATTTGCCTTAGCAATAACTGCATTTAATTCATCAACAGCTTCTTTAAAAAGAGGTGAACAAATGTTTTCAAATTCATCACGAGAAATGGTAATTTCAACTTCACTAGCATCATCATCATATTGTGGTAATGTGAAAGTATATGAATTTTGAGAAGAAAGAATAATTTTACATTTTTCACACTCAACTTTGAGTTTAGACTTTCCAATCTTAGACTGGAGGAAAGAAATTTCATCATCAATGTCATCTATTTCATAAATGCCATCTTCTACTTCTGAAATTACGTGTTTTGCGATTAATTCATCTATATCACTACCACCATTATTCATGAGACCACCATGAACTAAAGCATTAAAATTGTGTTTATTTGTCTTGTTGTCAAGAACATATTGAATAACACTAATATCTAATGTCCCTCCTCCATAATCAAATACAACAAAATTACCATCTTTTTTTTGGTTTTTTAAATCACCATATCCAAAGTCAATTGCAGCTGCTGTTGACTCATTTAGTACTTCTAAGTGGTCAAGTGAAAATTCATCAAATAAGTGTTTAATTGCTTCTCTTTCATTTTCACCAAAAGAAAGTGGAACAGTAACAACAACATTTTCAAAACTAATTTGACTAGTTTTTAAGTCATCTATAGCTGCATTTAATAATTTAGAATATATTTCTATTGGAGACATAACTTTTCCTACATCCATTTGAATACCAATAGATGAGTCATTCATCTTAATTGCCTTATATGGAATTCTTTTAATATCTTTTTCAATAACTTTATCGTCAAATGATTTTCCAATAAATCTCTTAAATTCATAAGCAACTGTTACTCCTTTTTTAGACAATGCTTGTTTAGCTTCGTCACCATATAATTCTTTTTTTGTTTTAGCATTATATCCATAGAACGTTGGATAATAACATTTCCCTGTACTAAACTTTGCATTTTCAACCATTCTATTATGATTATTAAAATATGCAACTTCAATTGTACAACTTCCTAAATCAATTCCAATCCATGAGGAGTCTGACATTATTAAATGAAATACAAGTTATTTTGTTTAAATAAGCGTGTTTTTATAAACGTCATTTTAATTTTTAATAATTTATTATTATTTCAAATTAATTAAAAATGATATTTATAATAATAAAAATTAATATTATTTTATAAAAAAAATTATTTTATCATAAAATCTTAAAAAAAAGTTATTTTTTTATTTAAGTTAATTATGAAACTTCATGGATTAATAAATTTTGGCAATATTTGTTACCTTAATAGTGCTCTTCAAGTATTATACTCTATTGGTCCTTTAAGAAATTATTTACTGAATGGAGAATATAAAAAAGATATTAATAAAACAAATAAAATGGGACATGAAGGAAAGTATATAGATACTATGGCTGAATTCTTTTCTACTTACTCTCGTGGTCAACCTAATACAAATAACTTATTAAATTTATTATCTAATTCATTTCCTTTTGGAGAACAGCATGACTCACATGAAATACTAATTCATTTAATTGACTATATGCATGAGGATGTAATTCATAATGGAAATAGTGTAATTCATGACATCTTTTATGGAGAAATTGAATCAACAATAATGTGCTCTCATTGTGTTTATCAAAGTAAAACTAACTCAAACTTTAATTGTCTTGAATTAGATATTCCTAAAAGAACTAACTGTTATTCTGATATTGATTCAGCATCATTAATGAATGACGTTCTTGTAGGAATTAAGGGTTTTGCAAATAATAAATTAATTGGTTCAGAGATTTATATTTATCTACCACGAGTAACAACAGCAAGTCAATTGTATAAATTGATTGCTTCAATATTACATTTAGAACCAACAGATATATCAAAAATTTTTATTACAAGGAATCATTTAAGAAGGGAAATTTTTAAAAATGAAATTATTCGATTAACAGATGCTCAAGTTGAAATATATAGTGAAAGAAAAAAATTAACAATGTTTTCTGATAAGTCTATGAGTGTTATTGATGCACTTAAACAATACTTTAAACCAGAACAAATGGAAGAATGGAAATGTGAAGAATGTCATAATGTTGGAGGTAAAAAATACCTTAATTTTAAAACATTTCCTAAATATTTTATTATGAGTGTAAAATTATTTGAAATGGGTTATTATGGGTGTGTTAAAAAAACTGATTATCTTACATTCCCTAACCGTTTTGAAAGTCAAAATATTGTATCTTCTTTTCCATCTTATACATACGAAATTGTTTCTGTTATCAATCACATTGGCTGTTCATTTTTTGGACATTACTATTCTTATGTGAAATGTGATGATAAATGGTATTGTTGTAATGATGAAACTGTCAGCGAAGTACCTCAAAGTGATATTCATCAAAAAGAGGCATACGTTGTAATTTATAAACAAATTAATTGAAACTTTCTTTTTAAAAATTATTTTTTGTTATTTACAATTAATAGAAATATTATAGTCTCTCTAAAGTGTTTAAGAAAAGGATAGAAACATTAAACAAGAAAAGAATAACCAAATAAATAATTAGTTAATTAAGTGTTAATAGATTTTTCATTTATTCTTCCTAGTTTATTGGAGATTAATCACTGAACTTGGTTTAAAAAGAGTAATCTTTTTCTTTAACTTATCATTTAAGGTTTTCTTGCAAATTGAGAAAATCACTTCTTTCTTTTATTTCTTCTTATTAATGTCTTCTCATCCTTCTTCTGCTTATTTCTTCTTTTTATCCTTTTGTTTATTTTCTGTCTTAATTTTAAACATTTTCTTTTTCATTTTATCTTTATTTTATGAATGAGAGAAAAGACTATTTCATTCCCATTATATTATTATGTTTAATTTTCTTTTAGTCTTACCCACACTTTAGTAGATGCTTATATTACACCATGTAATATTCTATCATAATATCATGCTCCACCCTTTGCAGTTTTACCTAATACATTTCTAATTCAAATACACCGTCATAACCAGATAATAACTTATGTTTAAAATGCAAAAATATAAAACAAAAAACTCTTCTATGAAAGTTATAAAAATTAAAAATTATAATATTAAAAAAAGAACTATAATAAATTAATCAAATAAATTTTAAAGTTGTTCTTTTTGTAAATCAGTTAATTCACCTCGTTGGTCAACAGTTAATTTACTCCAAACTGCTTGGATAATATTTGGAGAAACAGTTGATGTCCAAATCTTCAATAACCCAATAATTCTTTTCTTTGTATCAACAGAACATTCTTCTTCTTCAATAGTATCAGCACAAAATGATGTTAGTCGATAAACAATTTCAGCAGTTTCATTATCATTACTAGAAGTAATAAATCCTTTTGTTTGTAAATCATAAACAATTTCAACTAATTTATAAAATCCTTCTGTTACAGGGAATAAACCAATAAAACTCTTAACAAGAGATTCTTTGTTTGGAATACTTGGATTATGAAGAATAATTTCACCTAATGTAGTAACTAATTGACTATGAATTTCATGATATGTCTTATTCTTTGGTCGTGTTAAAATTTCACTCAATGTATTTAATGCCTTTGCAGTTAAAGGTTGAAATTCTGGTATTTCTAATTCAGCAAATCTACCAACAAAAAGAATTGCATTGAATGCAATGTCAGGACTTGAACTTTTCATGTATGATATAAATTGATCACCAACATGTGGGAGATAGTGATATAATTTACCATTGCAAATAACTGTTCCCATTGCAGAAACTGCAAAACTACAACGTGTTTCATTATCAGTTTGACCAAAATAAATCATAATTCTTGGGAATAATTTCATATTAAATGCTGCAAAGAATGTTTGAAGATGATTTTCACAAATAGATGATAATGTATTTAACATTTTTTGTAAATAATCATCATATTGATCTTCTTCACCTAACATTTCAATTTCTTCATCATCTAATTCGTCTTCAGTTTTATCTATTGGCAAAACACTTAATGCTTCTCCTTTATTTTCTAATGTTCCATATAATGTTTTATCAAATGTTTCAAATAATAAACTAATCATTTGTGGTTCTAAACTATTTTCACCCATTGTAATAATAATACTTTGAATACAATCTAAAATAACTTCAATTGTATCACTTGCTTTATCATTAACAAGTAATTGGCATAATTTTTGTATTAAATTATAATAAATTTGTTTCAATTGTTCTGATTTTCCAGTTGCTTGGACTAATGAAGAAATAACTAATGGTAATACAACACATGCAGCAAGTTTGATATTAGTATTAGAACAGTCTAACCATGGTGAAACACTATTGTATGTTTTTTCTGCATAAACTGCGAATTCTCCTTTTAAATATTCAGCTATTTTCTTAATAGTGAAAAACAAATATTTTTTTTCTTGAGAAATCATATTTGTTACATTAATTA